CCAAGAGAAATCAGGCTCCATTAGAGATTATATGCAATTTATATTTATCGAGAGAGACTGGTAATCAGATCATATGGCCATGTCAAGGGAAACTGCTCATGGCCAGTCATAAATACAGGTGTCAGGATGGAGGCCCACACTGACAGTCTGTAACTTGGGAGGCTGAATCAGGAGAAATGAGTTTGAGGCTGGCTTTGATGATAGCCAGACCCTGTCTTAAAGCAAAAACAAGCAAACAACAACAACAACAACACACAAAACAAACAAACAAACAAACAAAACCAAGATGGACCTGAAATACTCAGACGGGGTCACAGATGCACAGGGAAGCTGCTGTGTAGGTCGGTCCTCCGGCAGTTTGGCTTGGTGTCAACTCTGGGAACTCCATAAAGGAGTTCCTGGGTGCTACTCAATGGTGCCAAAGGACCCCAGGAAGCAACAGCAGGGAAATGGGGAAAAGGACCTTGGTCTCAAATACCAAATTCTCAGTTGATTGCTTCCCTCTATCCATGGTTATCAGAGCCTCAGGTTTCATTACTATTTAAATTCCTACACACATCCCAGGGCAGTTTGGCTCCTGATCAATGTTGCAGATATGTGGTTAGGAGAGATCATAGCTCACCACTGAAGTCTCAAATTCTGGAATGGATCCACTCAGGCAAATAAATCTAACTCCATTCTGACACATTTTTGTAAGTGTTTTCCCCCAAAGTACAGTTCTGCCAACAAAAGGTGATAATGAATTTGTGACTGATTCTTTTAACCCACCATTTACAAGTTTTGGCAGAAAAGACAAAAATAAATATAATATGATGACCTTAAATCAGTAATAGGGAGAAATCTGGAGAGACACATCTGTATGCTGAAACAACATATTCCTAAGTAACCAATACATCAAAGGAGAAATCCTGAGGTACATTAGGAAATATGGTAGTAAATGATAAAGAAAATACAGTATATAAAACATATGTAGTCTTCTGGCATGGTGGCACACACCTTTAATCCCAGCAGAGGCAGGCAGATTTCTATGAGTTCAAGGCCAGCCTGCCCTACACAGTTCTCCAAAAAAGAAAAACATAAAACTGCAGTTATCAGTCAGTGCCCGTACTACAAACATGTTCAAATCCACAAGCTAATCCTATACTTGACAACACCTGAAAAAGGGAAAACGGAACTCAAAAGGAAGGGTGAAATAATGATTAGGCCAGAAAATTGAGGAGATAAGAGAGCAAGAAAGAAGAAAATAAACCAAAGCAAAAGCTGGCTCTTAGAAAACATTAACAGAAGTAGGGATGGAGAGATGGCTCTGGGTTAGGAGTGCTGGCTGCTCTTGCAGGACTCCAGGTACAGTTCTCAGCATCTATATGCTGACAAGTGCCTGTATGTAACTCCAGTTCAAGGACCCAAACTCCTCCTGGCTACTGCACAAACATGATGCACATAAACTCATGCAAGGTACACACACAAACACATAAAAAACAAATACATGCACAAATAATACCAAAAATGAAAAGAGCTTAGTTATAACAGTTTTGGACCTCACAGAACAGAAAGATTACAAGGGAAGCCTGTATGGCAGATACTTTGACTACTGAGATGAAATGGTCTGACTTCTTCAAGGATATAAACAGTGAAATCAACTAAAAAAAATAATAATAGGAAATATGAACAGACTTATAACAAGTTAAGAAGTTGGCTACTAATCTGGAAAAAAAAAAAAAAAGGTGACATCACTAGTGAAGTTACAAAACAATACCCACTCAGAGAGTTTTCCAAAAGAGAAGAGAAAGCTTCTCAGTTCATTTTCTGATAGTAATTCCAACATCAAGGACACAGCAAAGAAACCACACCCTGGCATCCATCACAAACACACCTCTAACCCTTTAACAAAGTGCCAGTCAGCTGAGCTAGTCAATACCCGAAGTGCTTATATCCCAAGAAAGAGGCATGTCTGACCTATTTGGTAGGACAAGACTGAAGACAGAAACAAGAACAAAGAAAACAAACACAGATGCAGACAAAATTCATTAACAGAATCTAATGCTCATGAAAAAAACATCCAGCAGACGTGGAACAGAGATGAACTTCCTTCACCTGGTAAATTTCATTTAAAATACTAAACCCACAACAAAGGCTACAATGGGGAAGGGCCGAATGCTTTCTTCCTAAAATAAAATAACAAAAGGACAAAAAAGTTTACACACTTTACTTTCATTTTTTAGAAGTATATACTAAAGGTCTGGTGCACCCCGAAAAGGTAAGACATGACACCCAGAATGGAAAGAAGAATGAAGACATCTATTGTAATTGCCATAACCTTGGCAGTAGAAAATATAAGGAGTCTATTAAATAACTCTAAGGACAGAGAAGGAAGCCCCAAAAGATTGTAGAAAACAAGATCAACACATAAACTTGAACTGCTAGCTACATACCAGTTCATATCACAGTGAACTGAAAACAATCTGAGGAATAAAAGAGGAACACATCTAACGAAGAATAAAACTAATAATCCGAGAATCCCAAGACACTGCTGAAAGAAGCCCAGTTAGACAAATGAATGAGAAGGCAGCCCATGTCATGGACAGAAAGACTCAATGCTATTAAGATGGGAGTAACAGGGCTGGGGTTTAGTTCAGCGATGGATTGCTTCCCTAGGCCTAAGGTTTGATTCCTAGTTCTGAAGAAAAACAAAAAGGATGGCAACAAACCAAAACTGACTTACAGAGAGAACATATCCCTGTAATAACTGTAGCTGCTCTTGCCATCTGTTTCTAAATTCCACATAGGGCCGAGGTACAGCTCAGCAACAGAGTACTTGCACAGCACATCTGAGCCCCCAGCACACCCCAAAACAAGAAAAAAACAAACCCTGAATTATCTAGAGAGAAATACAAACAAGTCAGATTAATGGAAACAAGTCTGAATCCAGGCATGGAGGTGCATGTCTTTGACCCGGGCCCAGAAGGAGGCTGATCACATTAGGTTGTGACTAGTACAGTCTACACAGAACTGCAGGCCAGTAAAGGCTACACAGCGAGACCCTGTCTCAAAACAAACAAAAAATTCAGTAACATTTTCTTTCGGAAAAGGATTTTAGTTCAAAGACTTGTACTTCCTTACTGAAGACTCACCTAAAAGGCAGAACAGGCAGCACCCTGTGGTAATGGTCTTAGACCAATGGAGGCAAACAAAGGACAGACCTTCACATTTGTGAATTTTGACAGGGGTGGTGAGATAATTCAACACAGAAAAGGAGCCTACACATTCTCAAAATGGATCATAAACCTAAGTCTAACAAAAGTATGAAACTCCAAGAAGTCTACCTTACCCCTTCTAAGGTAGACAAAAAGATAGCATATACAGTTTTTGACACATGGGGAGGCAGAGTTTCACTGCCAGAGACATCCCTTGTCAAAAATAGCAACTTTGTCTGATTATGTAGGATCTCAAAATGAGAACATCTTAAATCAGAAGTGATTGGGGTTAGGATCAGAGATGTACATGGCGAACAATCAGCCATCAGCATTGAGGGCCAAAACACCTACACTCCAATTCCAAGCTGACTGCACAGAGATGAGGAAATCATCTAAGAGAGGCACAGATGATACCCCTGAGAATAATAAATGTGGGATGGACAAAGGAGCAGAATAATAAAAGGAACAGGCTTAAACTAGAGGTCAGTAAAACCAACTGGCTAGTGTGGTGTTAAAATGGCAAAAAGTTACCATGTAAAATAATGTGTTAATGTAAAATGATAATGCAAAATACAAATAGTGTAGGTATATTAAAGAAGTAAAAGTGTCCATTTCCTTTTTTGATACCCAATCAGAATTGAAATGGGATATAGATATAGCTGAACACTATAATACTGAGGTTTGTATTATACAGGTAAATATATACACACATGCAAAATATCTATAAACATAAAATAAAATAAATAAAATTACGAAACATTGAGGCCTTTCATGAAACTCTGGAAGTTTTGACAAGAGATCCACCATCTGTAAATTTTTGCAGCGTTACTTAGGCCTACATAATAACAGCAGGTAATGTTGACTGAGTGCTTACCACAAGCCTGGAACTTTTTGCTAGATTCGTACCTTCTAATCCTCATCCTAATCCAACTAAGTGGACTGGACTTAAAGCCCAGCAGCAAACAAAAGCAACAAAGATTTAAAACTGATGTCCAAAGAAATTAAGAACAGAAATTTACAGACAGCAGAAGAGATTTGGATTCTGGAGGTCACTGACTTTGTAACAATGTGATATTTTGAGTCCCTTCTCCTACTTCTCCTACTATTCCCTAAAAATGTTTTCATTTAAGAAAAGAGAGAGAGAGAGGGAGAGAGAGAGAGCATTTAAAAGCTGTTTCAGTTCTGTTCTAACTGCTTGAAACATATACTGCTGCTCCACAAAATATATTCCCATTGCCTCTCCTCTCAGCTTTTTAATATATCCACCTCTATTCTCTGTCTCACCCCAGACTGAGCATCATTCCCCAAAAGTCATTTCCTGCCATTTATCAGATGTTCTTACTCCCTAATTTTATGCTCTTTCTGAAGCTTCAGAACCAGGCCGCTTAACTATTCTCAGGCTCCAGAATTTTTTCCCACCAAAGAAAAGCTTTGTGGCAGATCTGGTAGGCACATGCTGTTTAAACTGAAAGGCTGCATCCACGATGCTTCGTCTGAAGGGTGCTTTTGTATGGATAAGCTACCCATCCCTAGCACTCTTAATAAAGAAAAACTCCACGTGGCACAGGGAAATAATGCTGTTTTTTTTTCATGCCAAAAAACCCAAGGGTCAAAGGTTTAGCCTAGCCAATACCTCTGATTCCCTGAGATGGTGTGAGTCGGCAAATAAAACAATCTCAGCTTTTGCTCTATGGGGAACAGGAAAAGAAAGAATGAAAACAAAACAAAACAAAACTCTGAAGTTTGTAGGCAAGTCTACTAACGGCTCATGATGTAGTCAGCCGCCGGGCAAAGGACAGCACCCACCTGTGCATGTTCCCATTGGTGGTGAAAGACTGACCACACACTGTACACTTGTAAGGCCTTTCACCAGAGTGCACCAGCATGTGACGGTCCAGGGAGCTGGCAGAGCTCAGCGACTTTCCACAGATGCTGCATGAGTGATCAGCTCCTCCCGTGTCTGTGTTGTGCTGCAGAAAGCAATTGGTGCAATGATCGTCTGAGAACATGGCATGGCATTAGAAATACAGACCTGTAGCTCTGTAAAAAACCAGTGAAGTTTCTTAACACCACACCCCTCCCCCTTCCATGGTTTCTCTAAAGTGTCTTCAAAAGAGCAAAAGGCATTAGGAACACGGGCATATAGTTGTTGTGTTATTTACACGTTAGAGTTTTGAAAATCAGTTCTTCTGCAAAACTCAGAGCTAGTCTTTGCAAGGTCTATGGGTTAAAACAACACATCCTAATTCCTCTGGGCAGAACGAGTCTTAACTATACAGCCAGTACGTGAAAGAAATAGGATTCTCACAGTGGAAGGTCGCAATCCTTGTTCCAATTTGAAGACCTAGGCTGGTTGTTAGAGAACAGAAGCCTGTATTAGGTAGTCTGGGCTTCTGAAATACCATAAGGAACATTGCTATCCAAATCCAGGTTTCCTTAGTAACCCAGTATACTTCGTAGTCAGCAGCCTTTTATGATTTTCAATACATCATCATTTTCTCTAGCCTGTTCTCTCTGGTCACCAGCAGTCTGTCATAAATCAGCAATGGCATAAGAGGGAGAAAGATGCACCCTATGATAAAGGAAAAAAGATCCCCAAGTCCAGGAAATCCTTGGCTGCATGAGGCACGTTGGCATCAAATAAAGGGCAGGAATGCGCACAAGAACTTGGGGCTTCACCCAGCTTGACTACATGGCCCTGTGATGACAGATACCTACAATCCCAGCACTACAGCAGCAGAGGACTGCAAAAGTCCTAGGATAGCCAGGGCTAAAAACTGACTTCAAGGGGCTAGAGAGATGGCTCAGAGGTTAAAGGCAATGTATGCTTTTCCAAAGGACCTGGGTTCAATTCCTATCACCCATGTGGCAGCTCACAACTGTCTGGAACTCCAGTTCCAAGGGATCTGACACGTTTACACTAATGCATGTAAAATGAAATTAAATTATAAAAACAAACAGACAAACAAACAAACAAACAAACAAAAACTGACTTCAAAGCCAGCATGGACTACGACTACATGTAAAGATCCCATGTCTGTTCCCCTTCTTCTACACAGATATAAAGAAACTGGATGCTCACTGTATTTAAAAAAACATTCTGTTTTAGACTGTCATTGAATGATGACTATGCAAAGATTATTTCGTAATCCCCCCAAGATTGTTAAAACACTAAAATTTAAACATAGCATACAATTTATTAGACAAATAAATTCCATTAAAATCAAATCATCCGTTAAGTGAAGAGTAATTTAAAACAAAACCACAAAAGCAGGGGCAAACCTGTCGGATGTGCATGGTCAGCTGGTGTTGGGTGGTGCAGACCTTCTCACACAGGGGACAGTTGTAGGAAGACTTCTCCTCTTTAGTTTCCTAAAAAGAGATTGAAACAGAGGGTGACTTTGTAATCACGGCCAACAGGTTCCTTCTACTCTTAGGATGAGCCCATGTCTTAGGAGCTGGGTCTGAGCAGCTGCAACCATTACTGGAGCCTGTCCAGGTATCTGTGCGGGTCACTCTCCCGTCTGTCCTCAGTTCCCTTGTTTATAAATGGGAAAAACAACATTGGCCACACTGTGCTAAGACGACATGAGTGGTCAAGGAGCAGGCAGTACCATGTTGCTCCACACAAAGAGGCACTAGGTGTTTATTCATGTCCATCACACATATAATGACATTAATTCACTTCATTAACCCCAAAGAGTGAAAAACAGCATGTCACCCACAGCTTAGCTATGAAAGAATGTATTTCTCCCTCAACTCACACCCAAGCTCCAGGTACTATTTTGTTTTCTTGTTTGTTATTGTCTCATGCACCTAAGTTGACCTCAAACTCCTAAGGTAGCCTAGGCACTCTTTAACCCTTGATTCTCTTGCCTCTACTTCCCATGAGCTGAGATGGCTGGGTCTCAAGAACCTTGGGACCTTAAGAGAGGTAATGAGAGCCTCATGAGCAAAGACCAGCCTACCAGTGGAAGGATTCCTTAGCGTCCTACTAAGAATACGCAATGGGAATAACAGGGCTCTGACCATAGAGCTAGCATCTTATTGGTGGCACCCATAAATAAAGAACAAGAAGAGTTCTGACCTCATCAAAACCAGCCAGAATGACAAACCAAACTGAAGACACCTCAAGTCATGACAAAACCTCCAGAACTTACTATTTGGTTAGGTGGTTCACTTTATTTTTCTTCAAAACATACAGGACAAGCTGCCTTCAAGAAATATATTTTACCTTTCTAAGGAAAAGGCTTACTTCTTTCATGGACCCTTTATTAGAAGTTCCTCCTGCCAGGTAATTAATGGGAAATCACAAAGAATGCCCCAAATTACCTCCTTATCCACACAAAACTCAGATATGTTTCTGTCCCTGAAACTAACTGTATTCATGCCTGGGCAGCTCTCAAAAATTGGGATGTTCAAATACTACATCATTGGGCTTCCAAAACCAGCAAGACCATCCAGGAGCTCTGTGCAATTCAAACTTCTTACACTCCCAACATGCTAGACCAGGACTGGGGGTGGGAGGGAACCCTGAGATCTGTTTGTCTTAAAATCTCCCCAGAAGACACTGATGAACTTGGGTTGAGGGAGCACCAATTACTTGATCAGGTGACCATGAGCACTTGCATGGGGAATTCATGTACAGTTGGATCCAGAGCTCACACTGTGGCAAGTCCCGCCACAAGAAAGCACTTGGGGGAAACGTTGGTATAAATGAAGGCAGAGGGCAGGGCAAGCAGCTGGATGCTCCAGCTGACCCACACACCCTTTCTGGTCTTGGATATCTCTGAGTAGATTTCTTTTCATCTGAACTCATTTGACTGTGTTTCCGATTTCCCACTGTTGATATCAATTATTGATATCCCACATGCTGATGGATGAACTTATAGCAACTCAAATTCTTGGAGTTTCTTTTCCTTCCACAATCACTAAAAGATAGATGACCACTTATTACGGATCCCATTTTCTGGAAAAGGAAACTTCAGAGTACAGGGGGACAAGGAACGTGCTCCAAACAGAGAACAATTAAGAAACTGACACCAGCTTAACCCCCAGAACTCGCTGCTCAATGGCCCAATCCACAACACTATATAAATCAGACCCTGAGGTACAGAAAAGCGACACCAGTGGTTGTTCATGAGAGGTGATGAGAATAAATGCTATTCTGAAGGCTGTGAAAACAAATGGCACTGTAAACCAGATGGGTGGAGTGAATGTGTGATGTCTTGTTCATAGCTGTGTTCTCCCTCTTCGGAATGAGTCTCGTCTAATTACCTTTTCTAACCTGTGGGGGTGGGTTGGAGGACTAGGCCAGCCAAACATTTTCTCTCTCTCTAACTCTAAGGAAGCTGAAGATCCCTGAGACATTTCAAAAACAAAAATCTGGCCTCGCCCAGATGACCCATACATTTCTTCTCTCAAAGGCACAATAAGATGTCTCACAGCCAGGCCAAAACTTTAGGAAAAAGTCAAGCTCTGAGGTATTTCTGTCAAGTCATCAGATTAAAAATGCTATGTAGATTGTTTATAAAAGATTCACTGGTACATTGTAATAGTGGACATTTAAAAAGAAAACCTGGCCAGACACTGGCTCATCCCTTTAGGCCCTGAGAAGACTGGGGTGAGGAGATTTTTGAGCCCACAAGTTCTTGCTAGTCTGGGCAACACAGAGAGACCTTGTCTCAAAAAACCCTCTATGCCTCCAAGTGGCCAATCACTCGAGGAGACATAGTTTAATAAAACCATCCTGTGGTCACCTTGAAGCAGACACCAGGCACATTGTGTGGAGGCGCACAGGGCTGACTGATATTGACTCTGGGGTTGATCATTAACCTCTGCCAAGCCTGAAGCCGGTAATGCTGTGGTGTAGTCCATAATATAAGTTCCTAAAACCCGAGGTGATCTAATGGAATCAGATTTACAAACTTTTAATGGTGAACAGAATAGTAAAAGAACATTGTGACAGTGGAAATGGCACACTAAAGACTTCTGAGCCCAGATATTATAGTCACACTGGTGAAAGAAACAAATTTCCTGAGCTGAGAGATAAAATTAGCAGCTAATGTGATAACTAACCAGTTCATAATGAAACAATCTGGCACCCTTGTCAGCGTCAGGCTGTGGCTAATCTCTCCTGGAATGCTACAGTCACATGGATGCAGCCTTTCCCAAGGCGCCCTCCTTCTACTCTCCCTGTCCAGTTTTCAGGTAAGAAGGGCACTTCCTAACCCTGTGAGCTGTCTACACATTATGTTTTGTTTTCTTAATTTGGGTGCTGTATTTAGCAGGCTACCTCTGGCTTAGGGCCTTCCTTCCAAAAACAAAGCCAGTCTATCATATCCCTGATGGAGAAAGGAGGCTGATGACAAGTGGCTCAGTCACACTGCACTCTGATGTCCTCATTCCTGCAAAGCAGCCTGTACTCAGTATCCAGAGGTGGCAGGAATGATGTCTGTCTTCAGTGACCCTAACTACCTCTGAACTGGGAAGGAACCACAGCCTGGACTTAGGGCCCTATGCCGGTGCTGTGCTATTTAAGGAAAGGTTCTTGCCTATCCTCCATTCATTCCTGGTAGAGCAGAAAAAGATGAGGAAGACAATGACCTCACATTTCTTAGTCATCCTTGAGTGCTTGACACCTGGCACAGTAGCTAGGCGGAAATAGAAGCTAGGTCTATTGTGAAATGAGTTGATAAGACAGATGGAGAGATGGACAGACAGGCATATACAGGCATAGGAGCGTGGAAATAAACCTGTTCTTCCCAGGGCTAGTGCTCCTTCTGTACTCGGGCTGAGTATTTTCCTTAGGCGCCCACAGGAAGAGAAGCACACGAAGGCAGGGGAAAAGAGAAAGAGAGAGAGAGAGAGAAAAAAAGAAAGTTATCAATGCTACAAGCCTCAAACATTGCTGAGCTCTGTTGAGTCCTCAGGCTTGAGGTGAGGAATAGAGGCGTGCATACTTACAAGCTGTAGGAAACATGGGGCTGCTGCCATTTCCGAGAGGGCACACTGAACTAAAAACCTGAGGGTTTATCAAAATCCAGCACGATGTGCTCGGAGAAAAGTCTATGCAAAAACAGTGATCAGTTCACAAAGGCCCCAACAGGTCTGTTCTCTTGTCCATTCTGGCTCCCAGACAAGCTGAGAAAAACGCCTTGTCTCCCAACAAGGTTTAGTGTGACTATATATGCCACATGGAACAAGAAACTAACAGGGAAGTCAATTTATACTATACAATTTCAGAGATGGACTGAGAATTGTTTGCTCTTTGCCCCCTTATTACCTTGTTAAAAATGTCGCTATCATGACAGCAACAACTTTTCTGAAGTGCCCCCTGTGTTCATTAACTGACAAAGACAATACCATGTTCCCAGTAGAGGAGACAGGGGCTTTTTTATCAGCACTCGTTCCTCCCAATTTCTGTTTATGCAATCACTCTTTCCAACCTCTCCTGATCCTGTGACCGCTGAAAATTCAAGAGGATTAAATAGATTGAACTGAGGGCCTTGCCCTGCTATGAACCAACTGAGCACAAGCCCTTTCCATTTGATGGATCTTAAATGGGGATTCTCTGAGGCTGAAATCAACTCTCTTTAAAACTAGAAAGCTGAATTCTGAATAGAAACTTGTCCCCCAATCTGAAGATACTTAAAAGGGGTAGCGGGGGGGGGGGGGGGGAGATCAAGGAGCTAGCTCAGAATAAAAATAATTAATCAGCTGTGTTAAAAGGAAAGAAACCACATCATAGCAGAGGCAGTCATATTCATTCTTTTAAACATAAGCTTGTGTTTAAGACAAATCACATGGCAAAGAATAAGGGTGTTTTCCCAGAAAGATAGAATGGCAGAAAAGATGTCCACCATGCAAGGATATAAATAGTAAAAAATGATGGCGGCCTTTGGGTATATCTTTAATTCAGAATGTGAACAGGATTTCCTCTTAGGTAGCTTGGGAACTTCTCCCCTACATTCTCACAAGATGAAAGCCATCGGTGGCCACAACCCAATCCAGATCCTTACCTGGTTCCTTCTGCCAATCCGATTTGGTCCTGGAGACTTCATGGGGGACTTGATACCCTGGGGGCTCCCACCATTCTCAGTGATATTCGATACACTCATTACTGCTGACATCATGGTGTTGATGGAAGACAGGTCTGAGCCTTCTAAACCAACGGGCGAATTTGACGTCATTGGGACAGGGTTTTATGCTTCTAAGAAGTCTCTGCTATAGAACTGAAAAACAGAAATGACCGATGTTCTCGTGAGAATATTTAGGCTTGTCACAGTCATGTAGGCTAATCACAGCTACCATTGTAACAGGGAGAAAGAAATGCCCAACACTGTTTTCCTAGTTCAGCCCATACTCAGAATAGAACTTAAAAAGATTTATTTTTGGTTTGTTTTCTAAAAGAAGAGCTTGCTATGTAGCCCAGGCTGACCAAACAAACTCACTATGTAGCCAAGGATGACTCAGAACCCCCCGACCTTCCTGCTTCAGGCTCTCAAATGTAGAGATTACAGGTGTGAGCCACCACAACCAGTTCCAAAACAGTTTAACCTTTCTGCTCCCTGTTGTAATCAATCTGCTTCCTTTTTAAGTGCACACCGCCCGTAGAACTCAAGCTACCCGAAGCAGCTCCCTTCACTTATGTGTGCATATGTATAGTTTCCTTGACAGCTGCTGACTTTATGTACTGAGGAAGTGTCTCAGACCGAACCCAGAACTTGCTGGTTTGGGGGGGTCTACCTATCCCACTTGCGTAAGGATCTTGTCTCTGCCTCCCGAACAGCACTACAGCACTGGGTTATGGTGTGTGTGTGTGTGTGTGTGTGTGTGTCTTTTTAATGTGGGTGCTGGAGATTCAGACTTTGACACTCACACTGACATAACAAGCACTTCTCCAGTGTGCCACCTCCCTATCCCAAGCTTTCCCTAATCCTTGCGTGCAGAGTTTGAAGAGGCCATCACCTTCCCTATACTCTGTACTTGCTTTCTTCTATTTAAATGTTTTAGAGTTAAGTAATAGCTGATGGGAAACTTCACATTTCCTCTGACTTCATGGCTACAAGGCAGTGATTTAAAAAGTTTGTGTACGGCATTTCTATAGAAGCCAACACTGCTGTAATTATAACTAAATTTAAAACCAACATTAAAAGGCACGTTCTTTAAAAAAAAAAAAAAAAGTAAGTAACCTAGAAGTTATAAAATGGAAAAAAAGAACTATGTCACCTGTTAATTACCTCCATTTTTTTTGTCCCTTGCTACAGCCGTCATCCACATGGAGTAGGGAATGGCTCTCTGAGTCCTTTTTCTTCTCTTGGTATTACTCTTTTACACTGGAAGAGAAACAGGAGACATTGGAGCAGTTAATTCATCAAGGAAAATGACTTAGTACTGACTGGCAGTAAATGGCACATGCTTGTAACCCCAGACATAGGAAACAGAGTTTGAGAATCTAAATGCAGTGCAAGGCTAGGCTAGGTAAAGAGACTCTATCTCAGAAAAGAAAACAGATTCAGTCTTTTTGCTTAGTAAGAAAAATGTGGAACCATTTCCTGTGATCTCAGATTGTTATACTCACAAAATACAAGGAGGACAAAGTAAGTAATCTTTTCTTATAAAACTGTGTGATGTGGGTTTTCACCCTAACATCCCCTCCAGTGCTGCCTCACACACTCTCAACAGCCAAGGAATTTTTACCATAGTTTACTCTTTCTTGGCTACTATTTCACACCATTTGTTTTTATACTCCACAGACCCCACTTGACCTGATTCCTTTCTCATCCCCCAAGAGCTCAGAGTCAGGTGTGACAATATTAGGTCACATCAAGAAGATGCCTGGGTGATGAGAAACAAATGACCAAAACGAAATGCATAACCCAAGCCACATCAAAATCTACTTTATTCCTGAACTTTAATATCAAAACACAAAATATGGGAGTCACTCAGTAGTGGCTTTAAATTCAATCCCCAACACCTCTCCTCAAAAGACAAAATGTGCCCCACATTTTGCTCTGATGTGTTCCCTCAAAGGTTTGCATTAGAAACTTAATTCTCAAATTTATAAGCTACTGGTCTTTGGAGGTGGATCTTCTAGTAGGCGCCTGAAATCCAGTGAGGAACAGCAACTCCAGGGGAGGAAGAAGAAAGGAGGACGGCGAGCAGACCCACTCTACCTCAAGGGAAGAAACAAAACACAAACCTGAACTGTTGCCTTTTCATGAAGCTTCCCTCATGCTATCAGATCACTTAAAGTTATTAAAAATGAACAGCTTCTGGATGGTTTCTTGAGGAAAAACATGAAGACAGGAGTGCATGTATAGAAGAACGTAGACAAGTACTTCTTTAATAGATTGCTGACAAATATATCATCAGTTTCTGCTGTAAGCAATCATCATGTATAAATATGCATTTGCTCACAAATTCATTCACCTCTTTTAAATATTCTCTTCTGCATTTTTTTTTTTTTTTGAGATAGGGTAGCCTTGGCTGTTCTGGACTCAATTTGTAGACCAAGCTGGCCTTCAAGTCACACAATTCCACCTGCCTCTGCCTCCCAATTGCTAAAATTAAAGGCACACGCACCACATCCAGCTCTCCTCTGTATTTTTAATTTACAGAAAAGTTCAAGATAGTTGAACTAGAAATGGTCACTATAATTCTGTTACTGTGAAAACAAATCTTTCTACCAATTTATACCAAGTTTAGATGATGGTCTTTAGTCTCAGCACTACCCCCCGCCCCCCTTTTCTTTTCTGAGTCATCAATACAGCTTTTATTTGTTTTTTGAGAGACAAGTCTTTCTGTTGTAAGCCAGGCTGGCCTCCTGGACTCCCACATACTAGAATATTTTATTAGTCTCTTCAAAGAAGTTATGCAGACCATGGATTAATTTGTAATTTGTTAAAAATTAGTACATACAAACATACCTAAGTATAGTCTGGCATAAGATCTTTCTGGTTTCACTCTTTTGTGAAGATGTATTGCAATTAAGCTCATTTGAGATTTTAAACAAAAATAAATATGATAAACCTGCTGAGATGGCTCTATGGCTAAGGGCTCTTGCTGCCAAGCTTGACAACCTGATTTCAATCCCCAAGACCCACATGACAAAAAGGAGAGAACTGATAATCATAGATTGTCCTTTGACCTACACAGAGACAGACATGCACACACATACACAAACATCTTTAAAATAAAAATCACTGGCCCTGTTTTAATACAAACATCTCCAACTCGAATCAGAGAATGCAGGACCCCAGATGAAGCTCCCAAGTCACAAAAGTGATTGACTGACAGCATCAGGCTGATGGTTTCAGTTTTACTGCCCTAGTTTTGAACCTGCAGCTTGGATCTGGGAGTGGGGAGGAAAGGAAGAGGAAAGAGAAGTGTCTGAAGTTTTGCTTGGTGTGATAAATCCTGGGCATCCTGAGACTCCTCAATCCATACCACAGACTCAACAGATCAAGAAGAACCAGAAGTTGCAGCTACAATTTTAACCTGATTTTGTTCTATATCTTTAGAAGAAAATGGATAAGGTGTGGGGAGGAGGATAGGGTGTGAGACAGGACAGATGGGCTTGGAAAAGAAGCAGGGCAATTCAAAGCGAAGATAGGAAAGGGAGTGCACAGAAGACTCACTCACCACTGTTGTGACTCAAGGAAACCTATAGAGTAACTGACCTGTTTTCTTTGTTCTACTGAGGAGCTGTGAGGACTGGGCCCAAATGTGAGCAGGGTCACACCTCAAAGCCACCACCTCTGGAACAATGAGTTGGAACAACCTGAAAAGATAATAGAAGGTAACATTAAAAGGAGGAACAATTCTTCCTCTCTATTGTTTCTGCTACTCAGTGTCACCATGATGAGGGCAATTCCCACCCCCTGTCTGCAGCTGCAGGCAAGCTGTTAGCTGATTCCACCAGAATGTACTCAGGTGCTGCTGAAACTGAGTGTGCTTTCAATAGCCAGGACAGTCTTTACCTCTACCAAAGCATATCCTACATTCCATCGATGCTGAGCACAAGAACACATGAGAATGCTCAGGCTGATGGCCCGAGGTGAAGCTCTGAGCATCCTAGCAGCATGGTAATAGTACTAGAATGGATGCACAATGGCAAAGCACCTGCCCAGCATGTGAGGCCCTGGTGGTTTTAGGCCTAGCACCATGAACACCAACAAGACACAAAAATGGCTGAACAGATTTCAGGTGATCCCCTAGCATATAGGAAGAAAAGAGAAACAGCTCTTGGTGCTACCAGAAACAGGCCATGAAAACAGCAATCTGAGGGCTGGGTCTGCTCCTCAGCACAGAGAAAGCTGGAAGGCAGCACGCTGCCTCTTGCTCTCAACACAGCATTTCTCAGCTGAAGTAAAGAGTGCAACACAGGAGAAAAAAACCTTAGGAGGCAGAGTAAGGGCTGGAGTATGCTCAGTGGGCCAGCACCTGCCTAGCATGTGCAGGAGCTCTGGGTTCCTTGCTGACTACCACAAAGCGGGTTGGGGGACACATAAACAAGAATGCCAAGATGCAGTTGTCCCGCACATCTTCTCACTTTATTTGCTTTCAGAGCATGTGGAAACAAGCTGCGCACATGTGCCAGACAGCTATCATCTCACAGCTCATTTTGACGAATCACCTACAAACTGCTCCCAAGCAGGACTGGTCTGTGTGGATGAGAAACTCCATCACCCTTTGCTGCCACAAGCAGTTCCTGGGAGGGTTTTGATGCCAGGATTCCTCCAGCAGTCCTGTTTTTTTTACTTCAGTGATTTCATTCTTTACCTTAGCCTCTTTGAAAAGTTCTTTAGATCTTAGAGTATTGGGAAACAAGGAACAACTCACAGGTAAGGCGCTCAATGAGCCATGGAGACCCTCATGCCTAGAGCCACCTGATACAACCCAGTACTTCTCGAGGTAAAGAAAACCACAAAATCCTTCCAAAGAAATATTCATACACTTGGTAATGGGAGAAGTCTATCTAGAGACAGCTCAGTAAGGATCTTTGTTTTACTGTTGCTACATGACCTTAAAGAAAAAAAGGTGGGGCTTGGATTTATCCCTTCCACTTATGCCACTGTCAAAAAAAAAAAAAAAAAAAAAAAAAAAAAAAAGTTAAGCAAGCTTTCCTTGATTGTATTCATTTTAAAAGTAACTGGAGGCTGTGGGTGAAACTTTCATGGTGGTGTATTTATCTAACATGCTGAGGCCCTGGGTTCAATGACCAGCACTGAAGAACAACAAGCAAACCCATCAAGGGTAAGAAAGAGTGCACACAATTTTAAAAAGCAGGGTCTAGAAAGGAGCAGCTCCTCCTATACTTCAGTTAACTGTCAGGGTCCTCAAGTAAAGTCAACTAAAAGCAAGCTTCAGAGTCAGAGACAAATGTCAGGAATTAAAAATTTCCAGAACCTAAAAATCCCATTAAAATTTAGACCCATTCCTTCTCTCTTCATTACACACTTAAAAAAGCAGGCAAGTGCAAGTAGCTTCCCACAAACACAAAGAACCAACCAGGAAGGGATACACTCAAAGCACAGGGTCAGACTGAGACTTGATTCTAAAAACTGCATCCTTTGACCTTGGAAGTAAATGATTTGGATAATGTTAGTATCCAATTCAGCTGAATAACAAGAGCCACCTCCCTGTTTGTTTTGAGTTCCACTAGGCTAAGGGAGTCATAAAGCTGGGAGGATGGAAAAGCACAAAAAGGCAGCTTTTCAAAGAATACCCCTTACCTCTATCACCACCTTGAGGAAAAAAAGGGGGTGACATGGGGGTGTTATTGCTAGTTATGTCACAGAAGAGAGAAGGTTACAAAGACTGTCTACAGCAATTGGAGGTGGGTCTGGAATGCTGAGTATCTGTATTTTCCTTCCCAGAAGTCTTGTGCAAAGTCAAAGAGGCAAGATATCTTACAGAAGGCAGAAGTCCCTCTGGGAGGAGGAGGGGCAGGGGAAGGCCAGCTCCACTCTCCACCCCCCAGATAAGGGACAATGCTATGTAAAGCCAGAAAGAGAAGATTAAGGAGCCTGTCTCCAGGTCCAGGGAGATAGCAACAGAGAGATGGAAGATAAAAGAAAGGATGGTTTAGAAGTAAAGGGCGGCACCCCGTCTTCTGAAGATGAAATCTAAAATCTGTCCTCAGGCTTCCAGCAAATATGGAGTAAGTTGAGATGCCTAGGATGACAGCAGAGGCCTTGGCCTTTCTAACACTTGACTGAAAAGGCTGCAGCTGCAATGTAGGCCCCTATAACATCCATAAATTCAAAGGATGAGTGAGGAGAGAGCTGACCTGGCCAGTTCAAGCCAATCTGGAACAAGCTACAAAGTAGAAAGAACAGAAGTTCAGGTACGAAAATGACTGAGGCACCTGACAAACTACAGAAAGCCTCTAAAGGGTGGTCTAGGCTGTGGACTGACTACCTTGACTAGATGTTCCACCATGTCCAAGCCTGCCTACCCCAAGCCCAAGACAAACCCGTGTTTGCTAACTAGGATGGCCTGTATGTGCTCTGAAGGCTGAGACAGCTGGGATGATGGCTCTCTTGAGTTCCAGGAAGTCAATGTGTTTCTCGGCTTAGGAGTGAGGCTATGGCTTGGACAGGGTGGCAACCCATGGACACTGACTTTGGTAAAATGAAGTTGGCTAAAGCATTACGTAGCTTAACTGAGCATATAGCCAACTCTGTATTGCTTTCTCTTGAGTAAAGATGGGTTGCTAAGAAATGGGCCTGCTTTTACACAGACCAAGTTCAAGAGACAAGCCTGAAGGCGAGGTGGCCATCCAGGAATGAAAGAAACATGCTGATCTTGCTCTTTCGTTGTCTTCTCTACTTCTTTCCTGAAGTCTACAGAATGTGCACTCTTCAACCTGTCACTCAAAGGGCATCCATGCTTTAGCCCAAGTTTGACTTCGGGCCTTGTCGCCCACCAGTACCCACGACTACCACTCTACTCAGTTTCTTCCCCCTAACCTCCTTATTTCTCATGGAACAAGGCCTTTTCATTCCAAACCCTAAGACACATGGCTACTCTGCCATCATATTTAATAAAAAACAGCACCATCAAGTGATACCTCTGAGGATTAACCTTGCTATGTAAATGAGATGGCTGGTTAGGGGTGAAGTTGTATATACCCCTGAAACAGTAGGTGACCGTACCTGGGAGACCTGGGAGCACAAGTCCAATGGCTATTGTCTCTCAACTCTATTAAGTTTCTTTTGGACAAAATGTGTGACTCCTGGCAAAAGGCTTGGAAGCACAGGTGCACTCCCTTGGCCGGATTTCCCACAATCTTAGCTTGAGTCACTTCTGCCCTTTCTTTCATTTCTCATCTGTACCTGGGCAAGAAAAGGGAATACTCCCCTTCCTCTTCTTCTCTGCCCTTGGTCAAAGGAATGAGGCAGGGCTGGCCTTCAAAGGCTGAGACACATTCCTTTGCTATGCAAAGGGACCCAGGCCTCCCTGTTCATGGAGGCTAAAAGGAAGTTCCACAGCTCAACCTGAATTATGTCATGGCCCAGCCTTGTGGATTCCAGCTGATCCATCAACAGGATACAAATCTTCCAGGTTATGCCTACTTCCACAGGCTTGGCTAAGAGGAGTCCACACTCCTAGACTGTAGGGCAGATATCTGTGGCAAATTAACAAACCAACCAAGTATGTATATTAGTAGTAGGAGACAGGGGCTGGAAAGATAGCTCAATGGTTAACAGCACTGGCTGCATTTCGCAGAGGGCCCTGGTTCAGTTCCCAGGACCCACATAGTAGGGCTCACAACTGCTGGTAACTCCAGTTTCAAGGGATCTATTACCCTCTTGTGGCCTCTAAGGCCAACTGCATGTACATAGTATATATAATACATTCCCACACCACACACCAACAAATGTCTCTTTAAATATAGTACAGGGCAGAAGATAGTAGTAGATAACATAGATTAACTAGACAAACATAATTTAAAGGAACTCTTACCAGTAATTTTATCTGGTCAGCATGATGTTTAACTGCAGCTGACATGTGAACACTGCCACCCTAAAGCGCACAGGAGCTCCTCAATCTAATATGGGGCTCCATCCCAACAAACCCAATGACACTAAAAATGCATTTCATGCCCCTGACAGACTGAACACCCACGCTTACTAACATACATAGCGCATTGCAGAGTATCAGCTGTCCCCACTCACAACTGAAGGGCTGAATGGAAACCCTCGCTCTCTGGCCAGCAGCAAGAGAAAGGATCAGACCACTGCTAATCAGAGGGAAGATCCAAACTCAAAATCCCAAGTATGCATTCTACTGATTGTATGTTAACTTTATATAAAGAATCAAAAAATTACCCAAGTTGAAAATTTTAAGTTAGGAATTACCTACAACCTAGCCTTTCACCAGAGATAAAAATCTGTCAGCTCTACCTCAGACTTACACCTTTGAGGGAAGACCTGCAGCCTGTCCTCACAGCTCTCTAGGGAGCTCTACTCAGTCTGCCTGAGAACCAGGTCATGAAGGTCAACAGCAAGGTCAAAACCTGCAAGGATTTACACAACCTTTCTGACAGCCGCTGGCCTATCAGAGCTCCTGACAAACACCAAGGCACAGAGGCAGAGACTCAGAATCCAGTCCTAACTTTGAGCTTACTTACTACTACTAAGTAAGAGAAAGGAAAAGGAAGTCGTTACACAAGGTCTGTGACAGAAGGTTCAGACAGGGTAGGGCTGGACTGCAATGCATGGGTGACCTGCAGTCCTGGATTCTAAAGGCTACTTCTCCAGCAAATAGTCTTCT